AGAGAGAGAGAGAGAGAGAGAGAGAGAGAGAGACAGACAGAGAGAGAGAGAGAGAGAGAGAGAGAGAGAGAGAGTGTGTGAAAAGGATAAGTCGGAGATAAGAAAAGCTCACGCATATATAATGGTCACCCAGAGCTAGAAAAACAAGGTAAACTACATTCCTCGCTCATCAACCCACCTGATCTATTTTTAAAAAAATGTATGTCTAATACTACTTTATAAGTGCCAATCATACAGAAAAGACCATCTCAATATCTAAACGTTTATATATTACGCTTTAAAGCGCCTTTCAGGATCTTTCAAACCTTCTCATGGGTGTCAAACAATAACTGTCTTGACAATGCGACACTATGTACGGCATACCCTGCATACCCCCCTCCCCCCATCTAATTAAGCTTTTTTTAAAGGACGCCAAAACGATTCACTTATTACAGATTATCTAACGACGAAGACGGTTGAACGTAACACTTAGACAAACCGTTGAAAACTCCTTGTCATATTGGATACTGAGAGTCACCAAACAGCTACAAAACAAAGAGGCAGTAAACAACTTGCAGATATGACGCAAGTGTTCTATTGGTAAGCATGTGGTATGTGACACCGAACAAGCCTCTGACAGACACTGACATGATATGTCTACAGAAAAGGCAACAAACATCACTGCACGACATTGAGTGAGAGTTTCGCAGACCAACAGAAAAACATAATAATGGATACCAGAAAGTAATCAGACTGTCCGAATTTCGTTTACGAAACTAATATTTTAATCATTTAATTTTTCTTATGTTCAGTTCTTTTGCTTTTTGAAAGGCCATTCACAAAAATATACGTACCAACCAAGAGGCTTGAGAATACGTATTTTTGGTTGAATTATGTTAAAATTGATCTTTGTTTTCGTTCATTAAACAATACAACTATTTACTTTACAAATACAACATTATAAGACATCTGATCACAAACAATTACAACAACATGGCGTACTCAGAGGGCATGCAAAACAACCAAAGGTCCCCCCCCCCATAAAAAAAACAACAACAAACAAACCAGCAAACCCCAACCTCCTAGATCTTTCCAATAGCTTTCCCCAGTTTGCCCCTTCTTTGACAGCAACATAAGAGGCACCACAACCTCCATAAAGTAATGTGAAGATGACACCAGATACAACACGGTGTCTCATCGTGGTAACACTTATAAGGCTGCTAGAACGACAAAACATTGAGGTCATCTTGCCTTAGACTATTATGTCATCGACTCGGAGAACGAGCTCGCAGTTGGTTAATGAAATAAAAATGTTGAATAGATCAACCAGAAGGTCGCCGGCCAGTTTTATTTGAGTCTAAAAAGGAGTAAGAAAATGTCTTTACTGGGATCATTAAGACCAGTGAGCCAGAATAAAGATTTACCCCTTTTGAAATCAAAACAAAAGGTTACCTCGATACAAAACAGAGTAAAAACGCTGACATAACACCGGAAAAAAACCCCTAAGCCCAAACAAATAGCAAGAAGCCTATTCCCATGGAATGCTGCGAACAACGAGCCAATGGCAAGAATCTGCCGTGTTGACAGATTTTGGCACTAGCTGGTAACAGTTTGACGTTTGTTGTTACTTTTTCTTTAGGCAGTTGGCGTGGAATTCCAGACAGAACTGATAAATACGCCACGGCTGGGATAGAGCCGCCTTGATCGGACAGTAAATAATCCCTCAAAATTAAACTAATTTTAAATACTCCCCCCACCACCAACTGACCCAGGCCGCCTGGTCGATGTCACTGACGCAACAAAGTGAGCACTGGGCTGTGTAAGTGTCACGGGGACACACGTCACCCTACACTGGGCTGCAACGTTCCCCTTTCTCTCTTTCAGTTCAACACTTGTCATACACGGCGGGGGAAAGAGATAAATAAAAATGACAGCACTTGAAAAGAATATCCAATACGAGACCAAGTAAAGCTTTTAACCCTTCCCCTATCGGACTGCTAATTAACCCTACTCAGCAATGTGGGATAATCTTGGGTCTGACAGGCAATGGGTTAAGTGTACGTAACTCTTAATTTGTAAAAATAGAAAAAAAAACCCAACAAAAAAATAACTGTTAACGTGCGTTCTCCCATACATGAAAACTGTCGAGAAAAGCAATCAGTTTGACTGTTTGCCTATTTCATACAATTTTTGGCAGGAGAGCACTTTACGATCTTCGCACTTTTAGAACTGGCACTTTCAAAGGTATTGGCTAAAGAGCCGAGGTGAAAGGTTAACTTGAAAGCTTTGTCCGGTGATGACAGGTGACAACAAAACACGGTGACACGGGGTAGGCCATGGGCTCCACTGGGGGGTACACACGTTAC